CATATTTTATGATGCTTTTTTTTTTTTAAATCCCACCTTTACCGACTGGCATAGTTTATAACTTATTACTTCAATGGTTTTATGTTCTATTATGTTGTAGTTTCATTGCCTCTGCCATCCACAGATTTTTCAACATTAAAAAATTAAATAATTAAAACAAAAAACTTTGTACAGTTTTGGGAGAGATAAAGTGTGCGCATAAGAGCCACGTCAATGTCAGAGGGGGACGTGACAGGAAACTATATAAGTCAATGAGGTTTGGTCAAATAATCACCTCAGTCATTTCTATCAGTGTAGTTGTTGCTACTGTTGTTGCTGTGCACCTTTGTCTCTGTCTCTGTCCTCTCTTTATTTTTATATGTACTTGTGAGGCACTTTGTAAATGGGTTTGAAAATTGTTTGAAAGTTTACTTTTTAAAATAGATTGAATTAGTCAATGTGTTTGGCCTGCAATATGATATAAAAAATATAATCTGTCCCGCAATTTTTTTTAAAAAACTTTCTGCTTGAATTTAAAACAATAAAGATGATATAAAATGATATAAAAATGTATAGAAACTGCTGTTTGCATTTTTCTATTAAGTACATGTTGTATTTATGAAATTCTTAGAATATTGCGCTTTCTTGTAATACTTGAATGTTTAAGATGACAATACCGGCAGTGGCCCTAAGCCAATTTGAGTCTAAAACCCCTGGTATAAAACCTCATTGGCACTATATAAATGGAAACTGATACAAGTAGACTCTTTCAGGAAATGTGAATAGAATGGGCTTCTATCCTACATATACTTTGTGCAGCCCTTAGAGACTGGTGGAATAATATCCAGCAAAAAGTTCCAAGTCTCTGCAAAACTGTCTATTTTAGGCTTAACCACGGATCTTCAGGACTCTGACTTGTCCTCCTTTGAGAAGAGATGGATTGTCTTGGCTTTTACAATAGATACAAATGGATACTACTGAGACATTGGAGGGAAAAGTGCCCGTCCCTTATAAACAATGGATTAGAACAATGGCTCGACTGGCTGCTTCTATTGAACAAGCTTGACCAGGATAAACAAAGTGTGCTGTACTCAACCCTGGACAGGATGCCAGTGTGTGTATGTTATTTCATTTAGTCTTGTTTGTTACTTCTGTTCCCCTAGATGCATTTGTGTATATGTATATGGGTGTCTATCTCCTACCAATCAGTATATTCACTGACTTACATTGTATTTGTTCTCTTGTTTAAACCTTCAATAAAAAGAAATAGGAAAAAACCACCCCTTTCTTACTATCAGTCATCTATACGCAGCATCTTCACAGCATCACTGTAAGTGACTATATGTTTCTTTTTATACCTGCTCCATGAGCAGTTTACCTCCAGGCACTTCCACAGCATTCTGTAAGACTGACATGTTATTATAGTCATGGCCAAGGTGAAGGTTATTTCTGAGGCTGTATTTATTGGGTTACACTGTGTTGTTCAGAAGCTATATGTAGTAATGTACAATTTTCAATGTGTTGCTGTTTTCTTGTGCAGTTTGACCCACTCTTAGAAAGCGTATTTGCTCATTCCATGTAGCTGTAATCTTTTCAAAATGGCGGATGTCCAATTTGAAAACAGAGGTCTTCATATTGCTCCATCAGCAGTGTGTCTGTGAACTCAGACGGCAGCGGCTCCAAACAAACAAGCTTCATTGGCTTTTAACAACTCCACTACTTTCCAGTGGGAGCTGGTTAGCCTCCATTTAGAGCCCAGTAAGTATATTACTGTCGCGACTATGGCCTAACCTCTTTGTCTGTAATCAGGTTAAACTGTGTTCAACTCTCAGCCTCTGTTGATCACACAGCCATGCCTGTACACACACGTGCAAGGTTATTCTGATGCATTTATATATATATGTACATATATGTGTTTTTTTTGTATTTCTGTGCCTGTGTTATAGAATTTTCTTTGTTCATTGCTTTTGATGACCAAGTCTCAAGTGTTCATTTGTTACATAACTTGCTCTGGAAACTGTATTCTGTGATGCCTATGAATAATTGACACCACACTAATTTTAACAAATCAAGATGAATTATTCACAACTCAACACACAGGGACTCTCCAACAGGGAATTCTGTAACAGCATATTCATATTCTTCTTAAAGCAGCCTTTCCCAGAGTGCACTTCAGGTGACCTTCAGGTCTGTCACAACACTGGCTTTGAAGTGACATAATGCTGTGGTAGGTCATACCTGCATGTCCGCTGTCTACGAAGTTTATTACTCTTTCTGTTCTTCTCTTTATATGCATTTAGTCTTTTCCAGGTTTGAAAGTTAAGTCATTGTTTTATATTCTATAATGACAGGAGTTTACTAAGATTTTGACCACTTTTAGTCTTTTTAAAGGGAAGTTTTACATAGGTATCAGCTATAGAGTTGAATAAACATACACTACCTGGTGTCTGCAATCAGTGACGTCATCAACAAGTTAAAGGTACACCTGATCGATTTTCTTTTTAGATTTTGTCATTTGCAATTTCACATGAACTCAACAAAAAAATCCAAACAGAGAGAGAAAAAAACACACTCTCAATTTCAATCTTAACCCAGTATGGGTATGAACATAACAGTTGTGGTGTTTTCATTAACTTAGAATGAGCTGTTTTTATCTACAGAGGGAGTTGGTCCTCCTCTACAGAGTTTGCCATGTTGAACCGCCATGTCTCTAATGTATTTAATTAAATTGATTAAGTGTGGGAAATCCATTTCTCTTTTTATTATCTTAAAATAAAATAATTCAAAAAATGTGGATTATTTGTATGAAAAAAAGTATTTTTATATTTTTATTATTTTTTTACTCTATTTTTTTAATGTAAATTCTTTGCTGTTTTGTTACTTATTTAAGTTGTTGGGTCTGATAATATATATAGTTGTATGGGTTTTTATATACTGTGTAAACAGTTATATATATTTCATATGTTTATATTTTTTATCACATCACCATATTGTTTTCATATAATGTGAAAAAAAAGCATCTTTATTATAAAGTATTATGATGATGATGATTAGAATTAGATGTTGTCACATGGTTTGTATCCTTGCACTCCTTCCTC